ATATATTTTTTGGATTTCTAAAAACACCAATAAACGGGGCGAAAATTTGTTGCGTGTGTGTCACGATTTTGATACTGTTCTCACATAATTGGTCCTAATAAGCTACGGATAGTCTTAAAAAAAAAGGTCCTAAAACCTAATAAAAAAAAAAATTGATAAAACCGTCCTGCTACTCCACATGGTATTGCAGTCGAGGCAGGGAAAAAAAAAAGCAATTAAAAGGTTTTTTGTTATATTTAATTTTTTGCTATAAATATAGCCAGATTAAAAAAAATGTATTGAGATTTTTTAGGCGCGGATTTGAAGCCTTGCACAGCGAATCTGATGACAGCGCACTTAACTTGTGAGCTATCAAAGTTATGCATGTAGTTAGGCGCTTCAACATTTTTTTAAAAATGTAAAATGAAAACAAAATAAATACCATAAGTAAGAGCTAAATAATAACGTTTAAAAATTACCAAACTTTTTGTTATAATATTATTAATTCTTCAACTTTTAAACCACAAAATTTATAATTTATTTTTTTGCATGACTTTTGACGCTTTAAGCGACTAACGTTTTAAAGAATTGCATTACCGTTTCCGTCTAATACAAAGATAACTATAAAAGACCGTTATTATTCAAAACTAAGCATATAATAATAATAAATATAGTAAACTATTGAATATGGCTAGGACGCGACCATAAACCATGGTCCATGGCTGGTCTAAATGTAGAAAGTAATTTAGTTCAGAATTTTTTTAAAAAAAAATAAATAAACGGGGTTTAATAAGCTATATAGGTATGCGGAAAAAGTGCGTATGTTAAAGTTTTTTTTTGCTCTCAAAGCAAATTTTTTTGATGAATTTTTTTCCACCGTTTACTAAAAAATATTGAAGTAAATAAGGAACAAGTAAAGAAATGATTGGCGTGGAATAAATAAATATAGAAGTAGAAGAAAAGACCTGTATTTACCGATACGGACAGCTAGATTAAGAAAATAAGGGAAAAGGTTTGTGTGGAATAGAATTACAAAGACCCGTATTTTTACGGGTCAATCCAGCTAGTTATTTACTATAGTTATAACTAGTAAAAAAATTTGGAAAAAAAAATATATTTAATAACAGTGAAGAAATAAAGAATTGGACAGAGGAAGTAAATGTTTCTCATATCTTACTTCAAGTATTTTATAAATAATATTATTATATCAAAATAAATATATAACTATATTTTAAGTTTTGTAATTTACTTACATTATATTACAAAACTTAAAATATATTTTTATTATAACATTTAGTTTGTAAACAATCTTGGTTGACAACAACAAAGCAAACAATAACAGTAATTTATCTATTACAAGAAACTTTTTAAAAAAATGAAAGGATAATGAAAAAATTATTTAACTTAGTATTTTTACTGTTTTATAAACATGCTGTAAACACATTATATAAAAATTTTTAGCATTTGTTTAATTTGTATTTATATAAATCAGTATTTATATTTTTAGTTATTGACTTTAGCATTTAGCTGTATGTTTCCAATATTGAGTTACTTTTTGCTGAAATTATTGAGCATTTTTATTGTTACTTATATTTAAGTGTTCCATTTTTTTTTTATTATTTTGGTTTAAATTATTATGCGCAACTAAAAAAAGGCTTTTAAGCTATACTACTTGTTTACCTAATTTGTGATTCATTTTTGCTATTTTTAGAATTGTTAGATAAAAGTATTAGTAAGAAAAGCTATAAAAATATAAAGTTTTTATTTTTTTATTTATTAAGTTGAATATATTTCAACTATATTCTTTTTATGTTATGTTTTTAGTGTAAGTGTTCTACATGTTACATCTAATAGATGGTAAATTTTGGTATTATCTAGTAGATATATCTAGTAGATGTAGATCTTAATATTATTAAGAAAGCATGATGGTCTAAACAATAATACTGAATTAGTCAATGACAAAGTCAATAATATTGGTGTAGAGAAAAATTTAGACTCATTAAAAAGAAGAATTCTCAGTATTTTTATTTTAAGTTACTTCTTACAGTATTTTGTTAGTTAGAACTTTGCTTTTATTGTCAACCATTATTATTTTACGTGAAATTTTTATACATTTCTGTCTATGCACTTTGTTGTTAGTTTCATTTATTGAGTATTGCTTTATTTCTCTATAAACCAATTAAATATTACTATTAGGAAAAGGTAAATTTTATCAACTCAATAAGTATAATACTTATTGAGTTGATAAAAGATAAGTTCTTTTGAAAGTTTTAAAGTTGTATTTGTCTATATTCTTTGTATGTCTGCTTTATTTATTATCTTTATTATCTTTTTTATATGATTTTATAATAAACGGCAAATAAGCTTAATGATTTCTTTATAATTATGATAGTGGCTAATTTATTTTCTTATACTCTTGGATTCGATACCACACTGAGAAAAAAATGTTCATATCAACAGCCTTTACTTTATGTCATAATATAACTATAAGTTTATAGCTCTGGACCAAGTACTTTAAAGGACAGATGATGATTCTTAAAACTATATATGTAATGCAGTGATTTAAAAAAAATATGAATTAGCTAAGTCTAAGAATGAGCTATAGCTTTTTGGAAATCTTTTTTTTTTCCATATTTTATAACCAGTAACAATTTTTTTATTTTTTTTATTTTTGTAACTCAGTGGAAGATATTTTGAATTACTTTTACTTTTACTCACCTCCTTGAGGCTGAGAAGGCCACTACAGACGAGGAGGCTACTTATTTGTGGTTATGTAACCCTCTCTCAACTCTATAACACCGAAACAAGAATCTTGATGAACAAGGCCACTGCGCAAAGAAACGAGTTGAGCGCGGTACTACCAAGGACGTGGTGGGGATTGAACTCGGAACCTCTTGCTTATGAAGTGAGCGCTCTACCACTACCGCACTACAGCTTTGATTTCTGTTTGTCTTATTGCAGTGGAAGATATTTTGAATTACTTTTACAGTTGAAGTGACTGCAAAAGCACAACTTATATAGATAGTAAATGGGTATGTTCACCAATGCCAAAAAAAGATCACCTAATGCAACACTTAGTCGTATATCTACCAAATTAAGAATCAGACATTGAATTATAGTTTGGATTTTAATATAATTTTTATTAATTTTTTAATTTTAAATAGCCAAATGATCTGGATGTTTAACCAAAAATTTTCAAATCATAGATTAATTACTATTTTTATTTCAAAAAATATTTTTTTTTCATTTTTAATTTTTTGTTTTGATTTGGAAGGGAAGGAAGAACACTGTGGATGAAACTTTGAAATACCTTGCAGTATATTTAAAAAAATTTATATTAATTTCTTGATTTTAGATTATAATGCAAATATTTACATTTCTTAAATATTTTTTAAATATTAAGGTAAAGAAGTATATAATTTTGGACAGTAAATATAGTGGTAAAAGTGCCCCTCCTGTCTCTGGCACTTCTGGTAAAGTCAGGGGACCTATCTTACTAGAGAATTTATTTTGGAAACTTATACATTAATGAAAATTTTAGTTTTAAAAATTCTTTTAAAACTGTAAAGGAGGAAAGGGGAGGAGGCATTGAACACTCCACCTACTAAGTTAAGCACCACTCTCTTATATATGTTGTAATGTTTTGCTCATTTTAATAAACTAAAAATATAAGTAAAAAATTTATATACTATGGTGTGTTAAACCTGCACCATACATCCACCCTCAACTGTAAGATAGACTGCTTACATAGCTTTTGGTCTGGAATGAAATAAAATAATTTTTTGAATATAAATTAAAAATTTACTTTAAAAAATTTTAAATTTGTAGCCCTCTCTCTCTCTTTCTCTCTTTTACATCTATCTTTTGATACCAAGTTATAAGCATTTAAATAAGAATTGACAAAATTATAACAATTTAAGTAAAAAAAAAATAGTTTTGAACATAGTTTCTTTAACAAATCCATATATTATTGATTCCATAGCCCAACGAAAAACATTTTAATTTTGACAAATTTACATGAACTTTACTCTCTCTTACCTTTTTTTATAATTAGTTTTTCATCAATTAGTTTGACTCAACTTCTTTCCAACCATATATAAAATGTACTATGTTTAATATGGTTTCTTTTATATATTATTCATATCTTAAGACCACTCTTGATAAAAAAATATGCCGCAGGACACAATTTTTTAAAAGTAGTTTTAAAAGGTAAGATTACCTAAGTACCAAAATACATCAAATTTGTTTGAACTTTACAAATAGACCCATCCAGTTGGCAGTCACTCTGTATTAAAAAAATATTGTTTTAAAACTAACCATCTTGAATTGGGGAAAAACAAACTAAACAATCAGTAGTGATTTGTTGAGTTAATTTTTTTTTTAATGCTAAAAAGTTGTTCTGCAGTAGGTTGCACTAACAACATAAAAAAATCTTCTTCCTTAAGTCTTCCTTAAGATGAAGAACTTTGAAGGTAATGGCTAAATATGATAAATTGTGCTGTAGATATTAGTGCATTTAGTAAGCAATAGTCTCCTAAATCTTCTGTTTTTTTATTACTTTGCATATTGTTTGTTTTAATTTTTACGCTTGATTTTTAACCATCTTTATATGCTATTTTGGTGCCTTTTTATGCCAAATTTTCCATACTTAATGACAAGGCATTTTGTTGAAAAATCATGAGTTTTTCCACAACAAAAAATGAAATAACTTTAGATTTAATTAACTTCTAAAGTTCAAAGACCCCTTATTTTTTATGTCTTTTTAAGCTCTATACAACTATGTTAATTATATATACAAATATATTGACAAAAAAATTCCTCTGGAATGGCTACATATATCAAAAATTTGTTACTTAAAATTTGTTACAGTATTTTAAAATACTCTATTATTGCTCTTTCCAACAATATATAACAACCTAATTTTTAAACAACTTAAAAATTTTATGTCACAAACCTTACATCAAGATTCTATAACTTTCAAAATGTTAATTATCATTATTCTAACTAAATAAATAACTTACTTGTCGTTGTCGTTTAAATGAATATCCTAATTTGAATAACTGAGTTTTGAAGTTTTCTTCATTGATATAATTTTTATTTATGTTTCTAAGGTTTTTATAGTCTTCTGAAAAAAAAAAGAAAACTAATAAATAAATAAAATTAAAAAAATTACGTATAATTGAACTTAAATGATGAAATTTTATAAAATATTTTATAAATCTTTTTTAATTATAATAAGATTGTTTATCATAATAATAATAAGATTATTTAAAGCAGAAGTGTTAGAATGGTAAAGAACTCACTTCGTAAACAAAAAGTCCCTATGGTATAAACTTGTTTTCCCGTGCAACTTACTACCTGGGTTCGTAAAATATAGAGCTTTTCAATAATAAAATTTTGAAACCAGGCTACGCTTGTTAAAATGTAAACAAAAGTTTTTTAAAAATGGCGGTGATTTAATCATTTTTAAAAAATCTTCTTAATAGGTTTATTTACAAAGAGGTTTATTAAACCTCCTAGGTTTTTTACGACAATATCTACTTAGATATTGTCGTAAAAAATAACGACAATATCTACTTAGATATTGTCGTAATATTGTCAGGAGAATAACTACTTAGCAATATAAAGAAATATTTCAACGTAGTTTTAGTTAATTTTCGTTTGAATAACTTTGTTTAAAATATATTTTACAGTTTACACTTAAGTAAAAGAATGTTTTTTTTCAGACACCACTCTTTAGTAAGTCCGGAAAGAGTCTTACGCGAGATCGATAATATAAATTACAAAGCCGGGGGTAGCCACTACCATACCCAATTAAGAGGTGAGGGTGGATCCATCGAATTTAGGGACCCTTTTGCAAATTTAAGGAGCTTTTTTATTTTAGCAATACCTAGCGGTAAAATTTGGAAGATTTTTGAGACCCTATTGACAGATTTCTTTTGGGAGGGGCCTCCGACCATTAGTCACCGCACTGCTAAATCCTGTTTTTTGCGGACTCAAAAAAGGGGTTGCTTGAAATACAAGTCCGCCTTATTCAGTCGTAGTATATAAGAGGTAGTATGTGTGCGCATAGAAGAATACAATATCCTCGACTCCCTTATACCATACATCCTTTTATGTTGGCAAACTAGAAGCTTTAGTCGGAATTTTAAATTTTCTATTAGTTAGCTGGTTAGTTGTGATAGATTAGATAATACGAAGATAGATACGAAGTACTTTTAAATTGAACAACCCCCTCCCCCTATAATTTTTCTTACGCTATTTGAAGACCACCCCTTCACCCCTATAAGCGTATATACTTTACGGACGACCCCTTATATAACATCTGAGATAGTAACGTTATTGTCTCAGACAGTACTTCGTATCTATCTTCGTATTATCTAATCTATCATAACTAACCAGCTAACTAATAGAAAATTTAAAATTCTGACTAAAGCTTCTAGTTTGCCAACATAAAAGGATGTATGGTAAAAGGGAGTCGAGGATATTGTCACTCCAACCGTTTTAAAAACTTTATACCAGGCACTCTACCTTCTCTAAAAATTGATAACATAAACATCAAAAGAACTGAAATAACTAAGTTTCTTGGATTAATTTTTTATATTCAAAATTACCTAACATACGCTAATATTGCATGGGGAGTACCCATAAAACAAAATTAAATTCACTCTACATACATCAGAAACATGCATCAAGATTAATTTATGATAAAGATAAATTCACTTGTGCCAACCCTTTACTTAAAAATTTGAATGCATTAAATATCTATCAAATAAATATTTAACAAAATATCTTATTCATGCTAAAATACAAACTCGGATTTGTTCCGAAATACTTTACTGATAGCTTTTTTCATATCAACGCAAACAAATATATCACACGAGGAACAGGCAACTTCACCTTGCCTTTAAAAAAAACAAAATTCTCGCGATTTTCTTTAATATACCGTGGCCCATACTTATATAACAAAATAATACTTCAAAATATGGAACTTAATAAAATGGATAACCTTATTGCTCTGAAAAAAAAACTAAAACATATCATAATTAACTTAACCAACTTCATCGAAATGTATTAAACAATTTGGGAAAAATAGTAATAATAAAAAGCCCTACTACTTCTACTATATAGTAGATACTAAAATACTTATGTGTATTTGTTGAACTATAGTTTATTAAAATTTATTTTATGTTTTAAAGGTTTTCGATGAAAAGACTATTTTAGTCTTCTGCGAGTTTCCTTACAACAAAGAAAAATATTTTTTAAGAATAATTTTATATATATATATTCAACAACGTCCACAAGCAAGTCCCTAGTAGCCCTGTGGTACGACGGACTTGCATTTTTTTTTAAATGCATGGGTTAATAGCCAGCACTTTATATTATAAACAACGAATAGTTACCTTATTTTGTACATTGTACAACGCGCATGCGCTGAACAGAAATTTGAATTATGTCTTGTAAAAAATTTAATGGTAAAATTTGTCTTGTACAAATTTTAATGGTACATAAATTGTTTAATTGTACGTTTTGTACTTATATGTAAAAATATGTAATTTTGTTTTATTGAAATATATACGGATACTTGTGTTGTAAAAAAAAAAAAAAAAAAAAAAAAAGATATTATAAGGCCTGACTTTGTTATTAGATATTATAAGATATTATGATCAGATATTATAAGGCCTTTAACGATGTTACGTTACATTGTTACGTTTACTTGCATTACGCTTTTCCATTACGCAACAAAATCTCATAGACCTGACTTTGTTATAACAAAGTCAGGCAAAATCTATGAGATTTTGTTGCGTAACGGAAAAGCATGTCGCGAGTAAACGTACAATTATAATTTACAAACGTATCTTTAATCTATAATTTACATCGTTAAAGGTTTAATTAAGTCAGTTCCGTATTTTTAAG